AATGGAGGTGGAAACGTTGTAGGCGCGTGTGCTCAGATTTGGGTGCACGTTAAAGAACCCCAGGTGGTCGAAATTTCCGGAGCCCTTCACTACGGCGTCTCTCATAATCATATGGTGGTTTTGGGACGTTAAATCCCACATATCAATCAATAAAATCAATCGAGAACACCGTGAGATCGAAATTTCCGGATTCCACCTGCACAGCGCCTCTCATAATCATATCGTTGCAGGGGCTGTAAAACCGCAGCAGTTATTATTAATTTGTACTTCTGCCACTTGATAGAGAGGATACAATGAATTAACTGCGCAAATATTAGCCAAGCCTATGAGGTGATGATGTTGTGTCAGTTCGTACGTTTATGGGTGGACACCAGTCGCGTCTACACTGACGCACAGTTTTCATTGAAGATATCTGCCGTCATATTCCTTTAAAATTCCTCATTTAGGTCTTATAACTCCCCTTATTTTGAAGGTTCATGAACGGGGGTGGGCACCCTTATTTACAACATGCAGTGTTTCGCAGCAATCCCCCTCGACACGGAAATTATATCACCTCACCCGCCGTGAAAGCTGCGAAGCTCGTATGAGCACATCGGTGTGTTTACGACGCGCCGTAGACTTACATGACCAAAGATTATTGCCTTTTCAGGGTCTTCAAGCAGGCGCGTTTACCCTCCTATATGTATGTAGCAGGGTCAATAAGCGACAAGAGTGGACGCAGTCAAGAATATTTACGCATTTTGGGAGATACAACCTTGTTTCCTGCCGCGTTTACTAGGCCGCTTTCGTTCTTATCAGTCGAACTAAGTGCTTTCAGTAAACGAGTGTTCAGAGTTGAGAATGTCTCGCGTAACGACGGCGTTCGTTTCTTTTCGTCGATAAATTATTTTTCCTAGTTTTTGTTAGGCTAACCTGCGGTAAATTTGAGCGTTTTTGCATTGCAGAAATATATCGCACCAGCGGAGCTTCTTAAGCTTAAGTTCATTTCACGGAAAAAAACATAACAAAAAAACATGAAGTTCTCTATCATAAGCGAATCAGACCTAAAGAACCTGTTACTTGTTTCGAAACATGTCGTTCCTAGCCCAGTGTTCGAAATGTGAAGGAGAGAGAGCGGCAATTACTCTGTTTACTGAAGCTCAAACGTGGTTACACCGCGGACGCCTCTTCTTTGGACCCGCTCAGTATTTTCATCAAGTTTCAAGCATTCGAAAATAACTACAATGGTCGACCACTTCGTGCGTGTCAAAGTAATTAACTGGCACAGCTTATGCCTTCCTCATACGTACTGTGCTCTAAAGCGTGAGCCATTTATTCTAAGCACATGGTTGCGAAAAAGATTACTTTTTTTTTGGAACGTTCCAATAATAAGTGAACAGATCTGTGCCGGAAATCTGGCATGTAAAGCGCATGCATTTCAAAGAGAATCTGCTGTTTTTTTGTTTTTTTTTTGTGATTGTAACGCGGTACCATTTATAACTCGTTCGGCAGATATTCCCGTTTGCGTAGGCGTCGTTAGCTGTGAGCATAATGCCAGCCTTGAACCTGAGTGAAATATTGAGAAATACGAAAATAAAATAAATAATAATATTATTAATCTATGTATCGAATGAGAATCGAAGCCGGACGTTCGCGTGGCAAGCAGGTTTCTACCAGATAGCATCAAACCGCTTCGCAAAAAAAAAATGCGTGAATGTTAAGCGGTGCGATGAATGCCATTACTCAAGTATTATTACGTGCCAGAAGCCGAGAATCATTCCTGGCGTCAGAACAAGTGAATTGTGCAACGAGTGGACGTTTTAAAGGACCACTCAATGCAAAGCGCTCCAGCATACTTTAGCATTATCAGCAATAATAATAATAATAATAATAATAATAATAATAATAATAATAATAATAGAACAAGAAGAAGAAGAAGAAGAAGAAGAAGAAGAAGAGAGAAGAAGAAGAAGAAGAAGAAGAAGAAGAAGAAGAAGAAGAAGAAGAAGAAGAAGAAGAAGAAGAAGAAGAAGAAGAAGAAGAAGAAGAAGAAGAAGAAGAAGAAGAAGAAGAAGAAGAAGAAGAAGAAGAAGAAGAAGAAGAAGGTGGTGGTGGTGGTGGTGGTGGTGGTGGTGGTGGTGGTGGTGGTTCCAAAACCATCATACGATTTTGAGAGAGGCCGTAGTGAAGGGCTCTATATATTTCGACCACCTGCAGTTCTTTAACGCGCACCCAAATCTGAGCACACTGGCCTACATAATTTTCGCCTCCACCGAAACTGCAGTTGCCGCAGCCGGGATTAGATACCGCGACGTGCTTAAGCATTATCAGCACCAAAATCATCAATCAAACTAGCAGCGGCGTAGATTAGCGAGTTGCCTTACGGATGCATGGTGGACCATTCGATCATTCGCAAAAAAAAAAAAGGAATTTAGGCGTAGAAGACACCTCACAACGGTACTTTCATTAGGCATTCTAAGCTTGTTTAAAACGTCCAGTGTTTCGCGTACACAGGTTAATTTCCTTTCGGCGAGCCCCAGGCATCCCTCAGTCACTGCGCATGCGGCCCGGCTACATGCTATCGCATTCCGCTCTTTGACGCAAAACTCAAGCGTCCACCAAGTTCTTTGCTATGTTATTTCAATGTATTTTTTTCCTTTCTATAGTTCTTACATTTTACACCTTGTTGCCTTGATTCGTACTGTGCATGTTGATTATTAGCTTAGATATAGGTACGTACCGACCACTGTGTGACTTGTGTGTGAAGTTTTAAGCCATAGCTTTTGCGATGCATGAACACAGGCATTGCACGAGGTTGCATTCTGCGCAGCCTGAAAATAAACCCAATCATTCACACCATCATTTATTTGCATGCTACTCGACATTCACTCCATCTCAAGAAATCCGGACTTGATTACGGGTTAGAAATGAATACATTACGTTTTTCCTTATTCGTGGCGACGTCTGCCGAAGCCCGAGATCGCCGCACGAGTGTGCGAACTGCTAACGCACTTTTCAGTGGCTGATGCTAGCAGCGTGCCAATCCCTAGACCACGTAGTCACGAACACTACAAAGGTAGAAGGTCAAAAAAGATCACTTTATTTTAAGCATACACGAACTTATTTCTTAGGCATGACTGTTTTTTTCCTGGTCGTGATCACTGCGTCTATAAATAAGTAGCTACTAAGTACAAAAGCGATACATCCGCAAATAACAATAGCCAGCCGCAAACGCAGCACAGCGGTAACGCAGCGTGAGGACCGGTAGCTTGATTCCTACTGCCCTTCCACCTACTCAAATCTCTGGTCCTCCTTGGCCAGTGGTACCACGGTCTTAGACGTGCACTCCTCTGTTTTAATGAACGGCTTACCTCGGCACTAAATGCGGGCTACCAGGTGCATACAGTAAGAAGCTTCCTCCGCAGTTCCGTGGTGTTACGAGGACAAGGAAGCGTACTCTCGGCACTCACTCTCTGCGCCTGCCGGGTTACGCAGTGTGACCTCACCCGCCGCTATGTTATGCGAAGGAGAAACCATACACGTATACAAGCGCGGGCTGCAAATTCACGCTGCCAGCCACCAGGTCAAAGCCGCGTTAGCCACGCTTTCGCTCTCCGTCTTACGATGGTGGGCTCGCGGTGTAGGCTTAGTGCCTCCCCGTGTATTTATTTTTGACGTCGTGCAAGCGTGCATTACCAGACGGAAGGAGTGCATGGTAGCAGGCGTACTCTGCATTGCGGTTAGCGTTGTTTTGTGGCGCCACTTTGGAATGCGGACGTTGCAGTGGGTCTGTACTACGAAGCAGTACTTTCACCTTGTGCTCAATAGACTGGGCAATGCAGAAACAGTTCGTGCAGTTCCGACGCCCAACAAAATACTGTTCACATAAAATGGAACATGATGAAGCGAAAAGATAAGGTATGCTAGTGAGGGAATATTTAGAATACAAAACACCGCGAGTACGTGCTAAGAATCAACAGCTATTTTGTTTGATGTCTTGAAGGTGGAGCTCGATAGTTCTGTCTTATTCTACCGCAGATGGTAAAAAACCCAAGAAACGAGTAAATTCACAACGAGGACTGTGGATTAGGCATTTCTAAAATTACGCAATAAATCCAGTCCGTATGCTCAGACTGAATGCTTTTTTGGAGTGAAGCTAGTGCATGTTCATATAGTAATGTAACTTCTAATATCCAGGAACATCGCGTTACTTTGCTTTGTATTCAATTGTGCTTATGCATATGTATGTGTGGTCACGTGACTCTATGCCTCTGTGCATTCGTCTTAGAAGCGGCGCTGGCAAAAGACACTGCATGTAGCGGTGTGAATCTTCGGTGAGAGCAAATTTAGAAACTTTTTCTCGCTGTTTTCCTGTCCTACACCGCATGTACACGTTTTCTAAAGCGCACATGATCGCCCCGTCCGCTTATCACAGATAGCACAACTCGACCTTAATTGTGCGAAGCATTTATAGAGGGGCCCATTTGTCTGTTATTCGAACTTGTACATCACCGCAACCCACTGACTGATCTATAAAAGGTAGATCCCCAGGTGGTCTAAATTTCCGGAGCCTTCCACTACGGCGTCTCTCATAATCATATAGTGGTTTTGGGACGTTAAACCCCACATATCAATCAATCAATCTATAAAAGGTATAAAACTTGGTGTTATTGTAATGAGAATGTTTATTTTTGAATTATTCAAGACACATTGCAAAAAGTTCTTCAACAGTCTATGTTAACAACTTTAACGGAGAGCAAGAAATATTGTGTACATGTTCACAAAGCGATATTTTGTGTCCATTATTCCTTGCATAATTCAAGCAGTTGGGAACATGCCCTAGCATGCTTACTTCACTTCGCCGCGAGAACCCTCGTAACTTAGAACACTGAAAGATCAACAACACAATAGTGGGATATGTGAAAGAAAATGAATGTGAAATACAGGTGCGCAACAAAATAATGACAGATCAAAAGCATCACGATAGACCAAGCAAAACACAGCACATGATGCTGTATATTGGTTACCCCGAAGGCCGCGGCAGCCGCTTGAAAGACGCAACAGGCGACAACTTAAAGGCCGGACCAGCAACTGGAGCGGGAGCAAAGAATGCGACCGGCGCCGTGGCTTCAAAGGCATTCTCTGCTCCACCGTTGTCTTCGTCATCGATGTGAAGTCCTATGGGTCCCATCGGAGCGTTGATACCCACGCCAGCTGGGCTGGAAGCGGCGGTGCCGTGCTCGTTGGTGGCCACCATTGCGCGGAAGCCGAACTTGTCGGCGATGTAATTCACAATGCGGACTCGGCCATCAGCATCATAGAGGCCGTACGAGCCCACTGTGTTGCCAGAGGCATCGCTTGACTCCTTGCGCCAGGATCCGCCCGTGGCGTGTTTCTCGTCGTAACCGAAGTTGTAGTTGCCCCAAACCTGTGAAGGTATGCATGCTTGCATGTCAGGTGTACAGAATACCTGGGACATGAGGGCTACAGACACTTTTCAATCAGGAAATGAGTACGTGTAAATGCCTCAGCTGATTAACATATAGTAAAAGATATTCGAGTGCACGGTCTCACAGTAATATTGAATCGTGAACAACTAAGTGAGATACAACTGAAGCGCTGGTTGAAGATATCGCTAACACACATTGCCTTCTGGAGTGTTATGCCTAGGAAAAATTTGCTTACAAAAGGTACTACTACAATGCCAAGACCATCATGCTACGCTTACAGAGGACGATTTCCTTCACAGCTTTGTCCTCGATATCCCCTGCCAATATGGCGTCAATATGTAATGACAAGTTGTTTTGTCGTTCATCACTCCTTCAGGTGCCGGCATCGAAACAGACGTTTATTCGCATGAGTCAAGAAGTGTCATTGTTTTTATTTCGTAATGACACCTTATGGTCGTGACGTGATAGGCTTGGCACTAGCCTTATGACCTTGGCTGAAAGAATAACTCAATAGGAGAACCCCCTGCTGATACTCTTGCCCTATGCACTACCTAACATGTGATACAATGCCTTCCGAAGACCACACAGCTAGGGTCTACTCAGCATCTCTTAACAAATTCGTGCGGAGGCTGTACTCTTCGCCTTACATCTTGCGTTCGATGCTGGGTAGAGACTGCTACGTCAGGAGCATACTGCGCTGCGCCAGCATGAGTTATGGCAACAAAGATGAGCACGATGAAGACCTGCGAAAAAGTAAAGAATGAACCAATGTTTTGCGGGAAATAGTTAAGAAAAGCAAAAAGACGAACATCTCAGGTTCAATTTAACACGTATGTATTTTACACCTCCCGTTTAGGGCCACCAAGTTTGACTGCTCAAATAAGCTGCTTCAGACCATCTTCCCATACCATTGAGGTACATCATCATCACTTTTGAAGCAGCAGTCGAAAAAGAAGGAATTATAATTAAGGTATTAGATGCACATGACACACTATGCCAAACGCATCTAGTGACACACTGGACGCAACGTCTTGTTGGGCCCCACTGCGCATCACTGATAACTGAAATTCTGTAGTATCCAGAATAAGTGAACTGGGTGATTCGGAAGGGCCGTAGGATCAGCGCTTACAAGCCTGTCAGCACTCACAACCTCCTGATTGTTGTGCCTTCTGTTCTAGTTAGCACTGGGTGATCAATGAGTTGTTATTGAGAAGTTCTTTATGCTTGACATACGTGGCAGCGTAACATTTGTTACTGGCCGAGGAAAACATCAATAGCTGAAGTGAAACGTCCTACTGCATCATTACTAGTAAGTAAGCATAAATTTGGCTGCAGAACGCGGCAGTGCACAAAGAAAAGTGAAAGTGACCAATGTACTCAAATGGTAAATTTGATCGGTGCGTACCAAAACACAGCTTCTCTTCAGATCGAGAAGAATGAATACGTTCTGTATCTACTGTGAAAAAGTCGATGAGAGGAAAACGTAAGATCAAGCAAATACATACTTACAGGCGTTGCTGGCTATTTAATAGCCATACTAATACATGAAACTGAAATCATAGATGTGATTGAGTCAGAAAAAGGTACGGAGCTGTTTTTTTTTACTCAAAGACCTCCTTTGATATAAGTGTGTCAACTACAATTGTTCATTTACAAAGTGTTCTTGATCGATTTACTTGATCATATCGTTCTTGCCGACCGAAGAGCTTTCCTATGAAACAAGTACAGAAAGTTGTTCAGGAATTGTGCTTATGCACTGTATTTCAAGGCTGAGAAACGTTAGCGGTGAGGCAAAAGCTCTGGGGCTCTGAAAACAGCTAGCTTAGACACACACACAAAACCATCGCATCCTTTATTCTTGTCTCTTGGCATACAGCTTTGTATATTTTCTTGTTTACTAAATGCATTTCGTCTCGCATTCGTTTCATCTAGATGCATATTCTTTGCATGAATTGGTTTGAACGTACACTTAATGCGTGCTTTTGTAGATTAAATTTCCGGTTCATACTGACTTACCTACATCGCGTCTGTGCACAGCGCCTATATTTAAGAACATGAACAGACTGTGTTAAAGCCCGAAATTTGGAACTGACAATATGGAAATTTTTCTAAATTTAATGTAGTCCTAATGAGTAAATTTATAGAAGTATAGCCGTTTCCAAGAAATTGCGAGAACCACTCTTTCTTACTGATATTTTATTACAAAAAAAAAGGCTCACAGGTTTATCAGGATCGCTTCGTGGTAAGGCTTCCTATGTGGGTTCAATTTACTCTATTGTAATAAAATGTCAGTGTGTATACATTGTCAATTGTTTGCTTCATCACTGAAATATATTGTGCGTTTTGCGCAAAAAAATTTCGTTTTGTGCATGTTTGCTAGGCTCGCCCAATAAACCTAAGTGCAGTCCAAAATTTGTTCATATATAGGTAACTTTCCAATATTTAAAAGTCCAATCGTTGACAGGCAGCACTCCAGCGATTTTGTTCTATAGCTAAGTCAATATATTGTTGCTGCAAATGTCCGCGAAGCCCATTTCGAGACAATGCTGTGAAAAGCAACAAAGCAATGGTACATTTCATCGCCAGAAAGGCCTAATCTACTCTTTTTTCAATCTGCTGGGTGATGCATTGATATTTCTCTCACATAGGGAACAGACAAATCGATCTCACCTTCATGACTGTCGTTGTGATGGAGCCGGATATTCCAAATTGAAACGCAGTCGCCGTTTCCAGCGTTGTACGCCGATTGCCGGCCCCTTATATGAATAGCACACTGACGTCACAACTGCCCTTTCAGCTGATTCTTCGATGAAGGAAGGGCAACACTGGAAGAGAAGGCGATGAGATGGTAGTTCGATTTGTCTACATGCCGCACCTTCGGTTGCACCATTAGAGTGGGCCACTGATCACCGTCTCATTGAAGCCACGGTATGGTAGACTATGAAGGGGGCCCATCTCACGAAGGGGGTTCACCCAGCGCCCGCTTTCGAGAGAAGGAAAGGCATCGGAAAGAAGGATGCGGTACTTCCGCGCGCAAGAAGCTAACAGGCTTTCAGTGGATACTGTGTGACCAGTACTGGTGTGACTATTTACAACGAAGCACGTGGCGTGGGATCTTGGGAGAGACGGCATGGAGGGGCTTAATTTGATGCAACCACCGTCTGCACCCCGAAATTAACCTGCAGTGCTAGTCGTGATGGTGAATATTGAGGTCGCTAGCACGCTATAGCCCCGCGCAGGCCTTCGACTGCCATCACACGGGGCAGTTTGCGAAGCCGGACTCTCTCCCGGCTCCAGTTTCATGCAGGCATGTATTGCGATATGTTTGCAATTAATTATGGGCTCGAAATCAATTTTTGTGTGTATTAGAGATGAATCGGAGCTGCGGCAGAAACAAACATTCGAGTACGATTGTATACTGTTTTATAATAATGTAAAATACCTTAGTATCTTGAGACATGTAGCGCGTCGCATAGTCACTCGTGGACGTTTGCATGAAAAAATGATAGTCGTATCTTTCCACAGAAGGCTCGCCCCGCCGCGGTGGTCTAGTGGCTAAGGTACTCGGCTACTGACCCGCAGGCTGCGGGTTCGAATCCTGGCTGCGGCGGCTGCATTTCCGATGGAGGCGGAAATGTTGTAGGCCCGTGTGCTCAGATTTCGGTGCACGTTAAAAAACCCCAGGGGGTCAAAGTTTCCGGAGCCCTCCACTACGGCGTCTCTCATAATCATATGGTGGTTTTGGGACGTTAAACCCCACATATCAATCAATCAATCCACAGAAGGCTCACAGTTACGCGTAAGAAGACAACTTTTAATATCGCTTTCAGTGAGGCGACTCTTTTCTTGTTCCCGAAAGCAAATATATAATGAAAAAGACGTCCGAATAATTCTTACTTCTTTACTGCTGCTGCTTCAAGTTTTAGTAATATTTTGATTGTGAAAATAGCTTCGTGCTGTTAGTATAGCATGTTGTAAACATGCAATCTCAGTAAGCGAAATAATAATATTTTTGAATGTGTACATTTCTAAACTAACTTTCAACCGGACAATTATTCATTTGACTGTCTACTAATGCAAAAACTTTACTGATTGCAAGACGAGCGGTGGAAGCTATCATGTTTATAGAGAAGGTTGTTACGAGGGCCGGTATTGGCACCGTATTTGTCCGCCCCCGCCGGTGACCGTAGCCGTTACAGCTCGAAATAAGAAAAAGATGCCTTGGTTGAAATGAGAACCTGGTCCTCTCCGTGACAGCCCAGTGTTTTACTACTGAGTTATACGCCGGTATTCTTTTCGAAATTGAAACTACGCTGCAAACTCACCCGGACTTCATGTCAAGCAGGGAATAACGTTAGGTTGCGTAATAAAGCTGTTCAGAACAATAAAGTAACAACCAAGTGTCGCACAATGTGAATTGTGTAACAAGTGGGTCATTGCATGTTCCAGCTCCTTACCAAAGCCGAGGGAATAATTCTTTATTGTCTTCAGCCACAGCTTCAACAAAGCGTGTGCAATGCCTCACAATGTATAGAGGGTACCACAGATTTTCGAAGAATAATGAATAATGGCATCTGGTGAACGCCTGCCTCCTCACTAAACAAATATTACGATTTATGGTGTAGTGCGTTCCATGCAAGTGTTCTTTTAGCAGTTACCCAAAGAGAGCTCGAGAAATAGGAAGGCCGCTCTTACAGCTTTCGCTTAAGACTGGGCTGCGCGTTACCCGAAGGCTTTTTTTTTATTTTTTCACAGTTCTCATAGCCAAACTTCTTGAAATTCTGCAGGGTACTTGCCACTTCTTTCTAATTTCCAACACCTGCTTTTCGCCGGGTTCTATGGGATTTCCGAGCACTCAGAATGTATGTATACGACCTTCGTCTCACATGTATTCCTCACACGAATCGTCACAGCCATCAAGCAGCGCTCCGTTCCACTCTCACAATGTCGTTGACAGGCGAATTCTCGCTTCCTGAGCAATGGACGTACGCAGGGAGAGAGA